CGCGCGAAGTAGAAGTATTATTTAGCAGTTACCGGAGATCTTAGCACGCCTCTGGCCCGTTGGGCCGGCGAATTGGTTTCCTTAGGTTTCGGTGCACTTTTCGCATACCTGGCTTTTCGGTCTCCAGAGCGTCCGAGAGGGCCGAGGAGGCTGTCGAGATCGCTCCAAGATAGCCCAAGAGGTCCCCAAGACGAGCCCAGGGCGGCCCAAGAGGGGCCCAAGACGGCCCTCAAGACGCTCCAAGAGGGCCCCCAGAGAGGCTCCAGACGAACAACGCGCCATTCGTATGCAATTCCGTGGGCCGTCTGGTGGTTTCTTTGGGCCGTTTGGGAGCTTCTTTGGGGTATCTTGGAGGCTTCTTGATCACAGGAGGGGGAAATTCCGCTTAGCGTTGCCCACCTCCCAGGACGCCAACATGTGGCCAACATCTGTATTCAATCACTGACGTTGGTCTTCTCGCCATGGCCTCTTGGGGCGCCTTGGTTGCCTCTGGGGGGCTTCTTGGGGCCTCTTGGGGGTATATTGGGAGTCTCTTGGGGGCATCTTGGGGGCCTCTTCGGGGCCTCTTGAGGCCTCCTTGGATCTTCCTTGTTCTTTTCAGCGGCCAGGACGTAGGCATCCTGCTGCTGTGCACCCGGCGCCGAGCCTCGGGGGCCATCTTAGGGCCCTCTTGGAGGAGATCGATCCAGGGAGGGGGGCTCCTTACTCAGTGTTGTCACCCCAGGAGGCCAACATGTGGCCAGCAAGTAAATGGTGTTGGCCTCCTCTCCGAGGCCATCTTTGACGCTCCATCCACTCGCGAAACCTCCCGTCCAGACCCAGGGGGAGGGGGTAGGGGGAAGGATCAAGCTACCCCCTCCCCGCCCGCAAGCCGTCTCGCTCACTCCCACCCGCCCTCCCAACACATACGTAGCACCCGAGTCTGGCCCGCGCCTCAGCATATTCAGCAGTCGTCTTTTGATGGGCAGCTACTGGGGGCCAATCCGCCGCCGCCGCCGCCGCCGCCGCCGCCGCCACCGCCGCCCCCCGCTGCCAAACCGCCGCCGCTGCCGCTGCCGCCACCGCCACCGCCGCCACCGCCGCAGCCGCCGCCGCCGCCGCCGCCGCCGCCCCCGCCGCCGCCGCCGCTGCCGCCGCCGCAGCCGCCGCAGCCGCCGCCACCGCCGCCGCAGCCGCCGCAGCCGCCGCCACCGCCGCCGCCGCCGCCGCCGCCAAGTGTACTCTGTATTGTTTTGTTTGACAGGGATGGTGAGGAGGGGGCCGCATCGGGTTGGCTGCGCATTTTCCCAATTTGGAGGCAGAGTTTTTTTTTTTTACAAGGGATGGTGGGGGGGGGGGTTGACATGCACCCTGGTTGGCCCCCAGTCGCCTGGGGGAGGGGGTGTATATTAATAGGGAACAGTGATCAACACCTCCCCGTAGGGGAAGAAGGAACATGGAAGAAGAAACGCTCTCAACCACTCACGCCCTACAGGGTTTTGGGGATTGGATCGCCTGAGTCGTATCGAAGGGTGCCGGTGGACTAGCAAACGTTGGCGCTAACACACGTTCTGAGGATCATTGGCCAGAGCGTCCCAACGTGTTACAAGCATCGCCAAGGTGGTTTTCGTCGTACGTTTCGTCAGGATTACGGGCTTGACCTAGCCCCTCCCTGGCCCCTGGCCCTTAAGCTCTGTATCTTCGCTCGTTCGCCTTAAGCTCGGTATCTTCGTTCGTTCGTCATCATTCGCCCTCGTTCCCTTGGCCCCCCGAAGGCCCCAAAAGAGGCCAAGATGGCCTCAAGAAAGCCCCACGGTGGTCCCAAAAGCAATCTCAGGGGGAAGAGGAGGAGCGGGAGGGGACAACGAGACGGAGGAGGATGAGGATTGAACATGGGGGGAAAAGGAGGTGGAGAATGAGGAACAGCAGGGAGACAATGAGAGGTAGATCAGTTGAATGAGGTGGCAGTGGGACGAGGAAGGGAACGGGCGGAGCGCTCTGGCAGCATCTGGGTGGGTTAGAAGGAAGATGCGTAGGAGAAACATGAGGCAGCTGAGCAGGGAGAAGGCGAAAGGATGGATGAATGGACGGATGCTGGTGGTGATGATGGTGATGGTGCCGATCGTGCTTGTGATGATGATGCTGGTGATGAGGATGAGGATGATGATTCGGATGCCGAGGATAATGATGAGGATGATTATGATGATGATGGTGGTGGCGACGATAGCGACGACGATGATGATGATGACGATGGTAGTGATGATGCGTTGATTGTGTTGATGCTCATGGTGCTAATGATGATGTGGATGATGATGCTGATGCGTCGGATGATACTGATGATAATGATGCTGATGATAATGATGATGATGATGATGATGATGATGATGGTGGTGGTGGTGGTGACGATGACGCTAATGTCGATAATACTGATGATGATGATGCTGCTGATGATGATGACGATGTTGCTGATGATGATGTTGCCGATGATAATGTTGATGGTGGTGGTAGTGTTGGTGGCCCCGATGATGATGACGATGCTGATGACGTTGATGATGATGGTGGTGATGATGATGCTGCTGCTGATGATGATGATGATGATGATGATGAGCAGGAGCGGGTGGTGAAGGATGGTGATGAGGAGGCTGAGGGGGAGGATGATGAGGAGGAGGAGACGACGATGATCATGGCGACGCTGACGATTACTAGTTTGCTGATACTGAAAATGATTATAAGTATGCTGATGATGATTATGATGATGGTTGCGATGATGATGCTCATGATGCCGATTACGATGATTTCGATGATGGTGATGCTGATTATGATGATTGTGATGCTGATGCTGATGTTGACGATGGTGATGATGATGAGGACGCTGACGATGATGATGGTTACGATGACGGTGATGATGCTGATGATGATGATGATGATGATGATGATGATGATGATGATGATGATGATGATGATGATGATGATGATGATGAGGATGAGGATTATGATATCGGAAAGAGCGTGTTCTACCGCTGCTGGCGGAAAACCGGGGGGGGTCACTACCGGTTCGAACCCCACCCCCCCCCCCCCCCCCCCCTCCGGAAAACCGGGGGGGGTCACTACCGGTTCGAACCCCTCCCCCCCCCCCCCCCTCCGGATCCGGAAAACCGGGGGGGGTCACTACCGGTTCGAACCCCCCCCCCCCTCGAAAACCGCGGACAGTGGTGGGGACGGTGTTGGTGGGGACAGTGGTGAGGGGATAGCGGGTGGGGACAGTGGTGAGGGGACGGGACAGTGGTGGGGACAGTGGGACAGTGGGACAGTGGTGGGGACGGTAGTGGTGGGGACAGTGGTGGGGACAATGGTGGGAACAGGGGGGGACAGTGGACAGTGGTGGTGACGGTGGTGGTGGGGACAGTGGTGTGGGGACAATGGGAATGAGGTGGAAACAGTGGGACAGTGGAGGGTACAATGGTGGTGGGGACAGTGGTGAAGGCGGTGGCGAGGACGGCGGTGGGACAATGGGACAGAGGTACAGTGGGGACAGTGGTGGGGACAGTGGGGACAGTGGTGGGAACAGTGGGACAGCTCAGTGGGACAGCGGAGGAGTCAGTGGGACAGTGGGGACAGTGGGGATAGTCGGGCAGTGGTTGGGGCCGTGGAGACAGTGGGGAGAGTGGAACCGTGGTGGGAACAGTTCTGGGGACAGCGGGGACAGTGCGACAGTGGTGGGGCCACTGGTGGGGACAGTAGGGGCGGTGGTGGAACCAGTGGGGACAGCGGTGGTGAGGACAGTGGTGCTGGGAACACCAGTGGGGGATGTGATGCGGACGGTGGTGGGGACCGGGAGTCGTTTGCTGGCGGTGAGTAGGGGGGGGGGGGGGGGGGGGGGGGTTCGAACCGGTAGTGACCCCCCCCGGTTTTCCGGATCCGGAGGGGGGGGGGGGGAGGGGTTCGAACCGGTAGTGACCCCCCCCGGTTTTCGAGCGGGGGGGGGGGGGGGGGAAGGGGTTAGGGGAGGGGGGGGTTTTGCCGGGGGAGGGGGGGGGGGGCAAGGGGGGGGATTTTCGGAGGGGGGGGGGGGGCGACCCCCGGGTTCCGGAGGAAAAGGTTGGCAATTTTCCACAGTAAAGTGGCGGTGGATCACGCTCTCTCTGATATCGGTGATGATGACAATGTTGATGGTCATGATTGTAATGCTGATGAGGATGACGATAATGATGATCATGATTAGGATAAGGATGATGACGATGACGATGATGATGGTGGTGGTGATGATGCTGCTGATGATGATGATGATGATGATGCTGATGCTGACGATGATGCTGATGATGATGATGCTGGTGCTGGTGCTGGTGGTGGTGATGGTGATGATGATGATGGTTATGGTGATGCAGATCATGAGGATGATCAGGATGAGACTGATGGTGATGAGGATGATGAGGATGATTGTGTTGATGATGCTGATTCGGATGATGATGATCAGGATCATGATGATGATGGTGATCACGATCATAGTGAAGATGACGACGATTATGATGCTGCTGATGATGTTGATGATGATGATGATGACGATGATGACGATGATGATGATGATGATGATGATGATGATGATGAGCATGATGATGATGATGATGATGATGATGATGATGATGATGATGATGATGATGATGATGATGATGATGATGATGATGATGATGATGATGGTAACGATGATGAGCAGGAGTGGATGGAGAAGGAGGAGGACGGGGATGAGGAGCTGGGATAGAAGATGGAGGGGAGGATCGAGATGAAAAGGATTAGCAGGATGGTCATCAGGAGCAGAGGCCAGAGGAGGACATGCAGGACATCAAGGACAATTTTCCAACACAGTCGACAGAGAATGAGTGAGAGGACGGCTGGTACTGGGCAGAGCAAAGATGATGGCGGAGAGGGTTGCAGGGATCGCGGAGAATAGCGGAAGGGAATTGAGAGCAGATCACGGCCAGGAGATTAGTGAAGGGGCCGAGCATTCATTGTGCGCTTCCGGCGAGGCTTGGGCCAACTCGAACGGCCCGATGGATTGCACCCGCAGCGGACGCCAGGGTCTCACAAAAGCCCTCAGGCTCAGACCCTGCAGCTTTTTTCCGTTTTGTTCCTTATGTCTCGTTCTCTCTCCCTTGCTCGGACTCTCTCTCTCTCTCTTCCTCCCCCCCTCACCTTTCCTCTTCGTCCTAATCGTCGTCGCAGTCCTCCTGGACCTCATGTTCCTCTTTTTGCTCTTGTCTTCGCCCTTCCTTCCCCACAAACTCCGCCCTCCGACCCGGTGTTTGTTGCAGCGACGCAGGAGGCGCCACATGTTATCATGTTAGCTTCTGCCTGGCAGTCAGCAAGCATATATCCTCCTCCTCCTTCTCATCGTCACCACCGCCCTCGAGCACCAACGATTCTCATCAACCATCACCAATTTCATCATAATCCTTCGTAACCAAGCCTAAGGAACCTGCCGAAGCAGACGTAGCGCCCTGGGCGACGCTGTGCATGTTGAGTTCAGAACAGCCGTGCTGGTGGTACTGGCTGACAGGTCGAATGTCACTGGCCTTGTTCGGTGGGGACGTTCGTTAAAGAATTTGCGCAGGAGCTTCAGATCCTGGAGGATTCCTTACTCAACGAGTGCAGTGGTGAAATCCATGGCCAATCCACGATTGGAGTTCTTTCGGCTTTCAGACCCTGGATCTCGTATCCAATGGTTCCTTATCTACTGCTCTCACCGTTGTAGTTTGCATTGGGGTCAGGCAGAATGTATCACGTCTTGGTGGATTCGTGCTGATTTCGTATCGCTACCAGCCCATCCAGCAACGATGCCCAGGCGAGCTGCAGTGATGGCTCGGGCCCCGCCCCCGTCCAGACCCAGGGCAGGGCGGAGGGGGGAGGGGCAATGCCCTCCCCGAAAAGGAAGGAGGGGTGTTCCCTTTGGGGTCTCCCCCTCGGGGAAAACCCGTCCCAGAGGGGGGGGGGACGTCCCCTTCGCGGGGGGGGGTGAGCACCTCCCCGATGGGGATGAAAGGGGCCCTGGAAGAGAGGAGGGAGCACTCGTCAAACCACCTCAGCCCAGAGGGCTGGTGGGATCACCTGGCGCTCTTGGGACGTCTTGGGGCGGAAGGCTCGAAATGTCTGTTCGTGTTCCCCTTCTTGGTCCTCTTGGGGCGCTCTTGGATGCCTCTTGGGCCGTCTTGGGGGCCTCTTGGGCCCCCTTAGGGCCCTCTTCGGGCGTTTCTGGGCGGCGCTATTGGGAGCTTCTTGGGCAGGGCGGACCGCCCGTCGCGCCTTCGGGCCTGCTCGGTGCGGGGCCGTGCGGCGACCGCCCTCTGCTCAGCAGCGCCTTCGGGCACATCGCAAGCCCCCGAGAGCCGTCCACGACGCGGCCGCTGCAGCCCCCCAGGAGGCGCGACATTGCAACGTCATTCGTCAGGGCAATCCCCAACGCATTGGCTGCCAGGATAGATGGCGAGGTCATGTCGTTTTGACAGGCGCCACCACTCGCATGCGGTTTTGAGCCGCGCGCGCACCACGATACCCCAAGGCCTGTGGCAAGGTTAGGGTCGGACCGAGGAATACGATCGAGGTCGGTTCGGGGAGGGTACCCCAAGGTTCTTCGTAGTTGTTGGGTGTTCGTGTGCATCTTGGGGGGGTCGCCCTCGAATGCTCTTCAGTTTGGGCCAGCGGCGGGTCTCATATTCTTGAAGGGGGTTCTTCTGTTCTAGTAGGTCCGGCTGTAGGGGGGATAAGCCCTCGGAGGGTGATGCATCGACCCCCCAATCATCCATTGATCGCCGATGGGGGCCCGATAGCCCACCCTGCCCAGGAAGGCGCGGATGCGCTATCGGGGGCCCATCGCCCATGTCGAGCGAGTTCAGGCCGATGTTTCCCCCCTGAACGCCCCCCCCCCCTTGCGTCCCCCTTCAGCCCTGGACTGCCTACTCCGCACCAGCGTGCGTAAGCACACGATGGGGTGCTTTGGGGGTGGGGGGGGCGAAGGAGGAGGAGGAAGAGGAGGAGGAGGAGGAGGCGGAGGAGGCGGAGGAGGCGGAGGAGGAGGAAGACGAGGAGGAGGCGGAAAAGGAGGAGGAGGAGGAGGAAGGGGAGGAGATGCGAGGCGGGGTGCCCGAAGGAAGCTTGCGCGGCGAGCCTGCAGCGCACGCCGTCGAACCTCACGGGCCGCCTGTCTCCCGGGGCGGCGGCCCGAGGCGTCCCACAAGAGCCCCAGGTTGCGTCGCGCGGCCGCTCTGCTCGGCCGCCCGCCGCGGCGCCTCGAGGGCCCGGCGGCGCTGCCCAGGCGTGCCGTCTCTCTCGCCAGTGTGGGCGGTGCTGCCCAGGCGTGCCGGCTCTCTCCAGTGTGGGTGGTGCTCTCCCCGGCGGTGCAGAGACGGGCGGGGGTCCCGAGGGGTGGTGGGCCTCGGGGAGGGGGAGGGGTTCAGGGGTGGACTCGCGCTGCCGACGGCACCTCGTCCTCGGGACCCCATCCCTCGGGGTTCGTGCTCCTGGTGCGGGCCGTCGCCTTGTCGGCCGCTCTTGGCAGGCGGTCGTAGGTTGGAGCGCCCTCTCCTGCTTCCAGTGCTGGGCCGCCGCGAGTTCTGCTGCTCCAGAAGGGCTGCTCACACTGCTGCAGTGGCCGACGTGAGGGCATCGATGGTCGTCCATTCAGTATCGCTCGGGTGGCGCATTTGTCCTCTTGCGCATGGTGGGCTCTCCGCGGCCTTAGCATGCCCCTGAAGGCGGGTGCGGCAAGCGTGCCGTTCTTCACTGCTTACGTTTCCCTTGGGGATGTAGGACGACGGATGCAGCCTGAGATGGACAGGTCCAGCCATCATATTCGACTTGTTTCTGCTAAGCGGGCCAGCATCGGGCCTTCGCCTGGTTGCAGTAGGCCGCCATGCACGGGCACTTGTCGCCGAGCGCTGAGGCTGGTTGGCCAGAGCACCAGCATGGCGACGCAACGTGACCAAACATCGGTGGAACATCTCAGCCGTGGTCGGCCTGAAGCGGTAAGCTTCGCTCTGGGCGTTGCCGCAGTCCATCTCGCGCGTGTTTTCGTCGCTAGCAGGATTCATGTTGGGAGCTCCTCTCGTGTAACTTTACACTGCCACTTTGTAGGGGGTTCCAAGCCGGCTGTGGCCCACGCAGCGTTGCGCCTTGACGGGGAAGTCGGGTGAGGATCGGCAAACCATGTGCGTAAGACGTGCGGCATGAGCTATTCGCCTTGCGAGCAGTCAGTCTCTGGGTAGTGTCATCGTGACCCCGCGTCGTCATCCAGCTGCTGCGCAGAGGTGGTCGCCCTGGTAAAGCGACCCAGCAAATCACCCTCGCAGCAGCACGTGTGAAGAGGCGCGTCGAGGAACCGGATGTCGGCCATGGGGGGGCCGGCCATGGGGGGGCCAGGGGCGACGGCGCGGCCGTGCGCCCTCGAGTGCCGCCCGTGCCCGGCATCGTCGTGGCCGTCCGAACACGTCGTGCCGAAGTTACGCGAAACGGCTACGGGACCGCCTCCGGACCAGGCTCACCACCCACCAAACCACGCCAACCCAACCCGAAGGCCTCAGATTGACCTCCATTTCCAGTGGGGGGGGGGTCGGGGAACATCGAGAAAACACATATGGAACCCGTACCCCCCCCCAACCCGAAATTCGGGTCTTCGGGTTGGGTTGGGGTGGTCTGGTAGGTAGTCACAGGCGGCCTCACCGGGCGGTCTCGGGCTCCCCGCCCCCCCCTCGGTGGGCCTCCTCCGTGGCCCTCCTGTGCGCTCTCCGTGGGGAGCCTCTGGCAGAGCGCTCTTGCGGGGAACTGCTTGCCGGGAGCGCCGCGACTGCGCCTGAGAGAGCCGCCGCCGCCGTCGTCATGGTCGCTGCGCGGCGTCCCTCCTGGCGGTGCCGGTGGGATGTGCGGCCCGGGGGCCGGCGCGTCGACCACCCGATCGAGTGCCTCTGTGCCGCTCGTCCTGCTCGTCCGTGCTGCACGGTGGTCGTGCTGCTGCGGATGTGCTGCTCGGCGAGCCCGACTCCGGCGGGGCTGGGACGGATCGTTCCCAGAGCGCTCCGTAGAGCTCTCCGCGCCGCCGGATGCGTCGTCCAGAGCCGCCGGACCTCATAGATCCCCGATCTGTCCCCGGCCAATTTCTGTTTCTGTCTTAGCTTCGTCTTGTGGGCCGTGGTGGCCCGTAAGATAACGGCCCTGTCGTTTCCAGGCACCACTAAAAGCCCTCCTCCCCTCCTCCTCTCCCTCCTCATCCTTCGTCTCCTCATCCTTCTTTCCCCCCCTTCTCCTCCTCCTCCCCTTCCCTTCAGCCGAGGTGCGGTGTAGAAAACTCCTCCGACTCCCGTCAGGTTTGACCGCCGCCATCGTTCCTGCAGGTTTTACCTGGGGCTCCTCCCCTTTCCTTCCCCTCTCCCCGTCCTCCTCGTCCCCTCCCCCTCGCTCTCATCACTGCCCTGCGTCCCAAGGACGCCTCTACTGCCCTCCTCGTCCCCTCCTCGTCCCCGTCACTGCCCTGCGTCCCGAGGACCCCTCTACTACTCCGACCTCCTGTCGGCGGGGGGCAGCCTGGGCACGCTCGGCTCCAGCCTGCAGCACGGCAACGGCCTGTCGGCAGGGCCCTTCGGCGCGGCCGGCTTCTCACAGGCGCGAGCGGAGCGATGCTGGGGAGGGGGGCTGCGGAGCGACACTGGCACGGCAATATGTTATTTTATTTTCTAGCGTGCGTCGACGAAGAAAATGACTTGAGAAAAGCCCAATCAGTGGATGGTTTTAAATGCGATCGATAAAGAGATCGATAAGGAGATCGACCGGGAACCCGGGAACCTGGAACCCACCGAAATCGGACCGGAACCAATGACCGGGAACCCGGGAACCAAGAACCGGGAGTTTAGGAACCCAGCCAGTCACCCAAATCGGCGGGACACTTTCGCCAAGTCTTTCGATTTGGCTGTATGGAGGCCCCCAGGGGGAGCGAGAGCCGTCGGGAGGGGGAAGGAGCGGCGGCGGCGTTGGAGGAGGAGGAGGAGGAGGAGGAGGAAGAGGAGGAGGATGAGGAGGGGGAGGAGGAGGAGGGGGAGGAGGAGGGGGAGAAGGAGGATGAGGAGGAGGAGGAGGAGGAGGAGGAAGAGGAGGAGATGGAGGAGGCGGAGGAGGAGGAGGAGGAGGAGGACCAGGAGGAGAAGGAGGAGGAACAAAAATAGAAAGAGAAGGAGAAGGTGAAGGAGAAGGAAAAGGATAAAAGAAGTCCTCGAGTTGTCGCCCCCACTAAGGGGCCGCCCCCCTCCCCCCCCCGAAAGTTTGGGGCAGGGCAGCTCGAGCCGTGACGCGCCGTCCCTCGCCAGTCCCCCGCCCCCCTTTTCGCCTTCCCGAGCCTGTCCGTTCCTCCCCCTCCCCGGCAGCGGAGGAGGAGGAGGAGGAGGAGGAACTGCAGGCGGAGGAACTGCAGTGAGGAGGAGGAGGTGGAGGAGGAGGAGGAGGTGGAGGAGGAGGAGGTGGAGGAGGAGGAGGAGTGGAAAAGGTGTTGGAGAGGAGGAGAGGAGGCGGCGAAAAGGTTTCGGAGAGGGGGGAACTGGGGGAGGTCGGGGGGAGGGGAGAGGGGGAGGGGGCATGGGGGATCGGGAGAGAGTGTAGGCAGGGGGAGGGGGGAAGAGGGGGAGGGAGAGTCAAGGAAATGCAAACATGAATGAGAGCGCGTGGATGAACGACGGGTCCCGTTTCCATGCGCGGAGTCGGCGCACTCAGTTTGTGTGATTCTTTATTATTTTTGTTTCTTCCTTTCTCTCTCTCTCTCTTTTTCTTGTGCCACTACCCTTTCCCATTACACCAGCGCGTATCGGACCGGCGGGACTAACCATCTGGACCGCCAGATCGTGCGGACAGCGTGCGCAGAACAGACAGCGGCTCGGACATGGCCATTGTACTTGCAGAGACAGACGTGCCGCATCAACCTGTTAAGGCTGAATCAGCGGATGACGCAACCAATGTGGAATCTTGGGTGGAGTAGGTCAAATGAGCACGCGCGAAGCAGAAACCCACATTGACAGTCTTGGGATAGACGACTGGATCCTACAACAAAGGCGCCAGGCATGGAAATGTCGTCATCTTATGACACAATCGTCTTCTTGCGAGTGGATGCACAAGGTGTAAGCCCGTCTGAACATCGAAAGTTCATTTTCCAGCATCCAACGTATCTTCCCAGAGGCGCTAAATCAGAGTATAGCGAAGATGGCTGGATGACAGATGGGATTTCACTTGATTTTTTTCTGAACAGGATCAAGCACGAAGCAAAGACAGGACTGACTGAGGCCGGCTGCCTTCAAGACGCCGCCCTTTCTAATAACTTCGCTCGCACCAACACGTGGGCCGATCTAGCGGGCGATGTTGCAGACTTCGTTATTGCCCAGACAGGTTCCAGTACTGCTGCACAGTCGCGTTCTGTGTGCGTCGGCCCCGCTCTGCAGCGCCCTCGCGGCGTTCCAAGCAGGTCGCAGTTCTCTCTTTCTTTTCTCCCTCCTACCCCACCACGAGTCGCCCCCAGGGTCCAACTCTTGGGCCGCGCCGCTAAAAGAAGCGGCTAGGGAACTATCTCCGATCCATGGGTCAGGTGCCCACCCGCCAGATCCCAGGATCCGTAGTCCATGTAAATCCATGTTAGTGTGTGCCCGAGACAGGGGAAGGGGGAGGGGAGAGGGATGGGGCGTGGGAAAGGGAGGGGGAGGGTTCGAGGCGCCTGGATAATGAATGAGAAGTGGTGGTGGTGGAAGGGCAGAGGAACGAGCATCGGAACTTTGCCATACTTGCCAGGCGTGCCCCCCAACGAGAGCCTCCAAGGCGAAGTCGCATTCCCCAACGTGCCCTTCTGTAGAGTCTAGTCGGGCCAGAGGAGGCTAATTCGAGCGGCAGATGCGCCCGATTTGCTTGGGACAGCCCCTGCTCGCGAATAATCGCTGCCAGTGGCACAGCGACAAGATGGCCTCTTGCGCAGCCCTTGTGGCTGCTCGAGTCATTCTAGCTAGAACTCCGTGGACGCAGTGTCGCAGCAGGCGTGCGCGACACACCTTTCCACGTTGCATATATATATATATATATATATATATGTATGACTGTGTGTGTTTGGGCGAGAAAGAGTATTTCGATTGCGTGCACGGCTACGGAGGCAATGCAGTCGGCGTGCTCTTGATATTCTACATCACGTTGTAACAATCGCGCTGCTCCAACGTAATTCGATTTTGCAACCCATCCTGGAAGGAAGGGCGTTCGCCGTGAGACGGTAACCATCGTCGGTCGGGCAGAGTTTAGTTGTCTTGCTCCTGCACGGAGATGGCGTGACACGCAATCGCATGGAAGCAGCTGTATCATGATTGAAAGTGCGTGGTATGGTCGCGAACATCATGTTGTTTGCGGCGCCAGGGCTGAACACAAACCGCGCGTGGCACTCCTTGATTGCAAAGCGCAGTGTTCAGTTCAATACAGATGCTCGCGGGGAAGGGGCCGCTGGGGATCCGAACGATTCAGCGATCTGCGCGGAGACAACGCGGTTGCTGAAATCTTGAGCGCAATGCATTGCTTTGTTTGTGAAAGATCTTGGCTGCCTCCCCGCTGCCGTCCAAATTCAGCGGGGAGTAAGCATGCTAGAGTCAGTTTGCACAGTAGTGGCAAGCCTTCGTTGGCCCGTGGTTTTCAGCAGACTGGCGCAGGCTTTCACTTTGCATTGCCATTCCCTGGTGGTTGCGGAGGATCCCACGTAAAACAACAAAGTTGTTCAGTGATGGGTCGGGTGGGATTGAGTTTTTGACCATTCCGATTCCGGAAAACAACGGACGGAACCATATATGTCGACTTGAAAGTGATAGCATCGTGTCTGCGAGCATCGGGCCACTCATTTTCAAACCTTCTCAAAACTACGGCTTTGCGGTCAGCTATGGCAAAGCTCAAGTACGCAAGTGGATTTGGTGAGGTAATCGTCTATCCACGGAGGTACTTACTAGGCAGCATCTATGATCTGTGTCACACCCATCGCGGAGAGCTTTTTCGAGCGGAAAGGTAGGGATATGCATATGTTTTGCCGAGGGATGCAACCATACGTAGCAAGATATACAACTGTACGGTTCGGTTTAATTTGGGGGCATCACGCATGGCGGCTGGCCATCCGCGATGCAAGATCCGGTTGTTTTGCCAGACAATTGTGCTGCACAAACTTGGTTGCATCGACTGGTCTCTGAGTTGCAGCATGGATGACACGCTGCTTATTATTAGTCAGTTGCCAAGAGCAAGAGGCGTTTGAGAAATGTAGCCTTGCACGGGTAGGTGCGCCAATTCTTTGTGCAGCACCTTAAGAATGCAATGCGGAGGAACGGCGCCGGTAGCCAATTGCAGCTACTTCCAGGCGATGGTCAGTTTCGTCAGCATTTTGCAAGAGCCAACAGCACGTAGGACATGCGTCTCAGGAGCTCTGGACTATTTCCAGCGGCTCGGATTGCCAGCAATGAAGACATACCTCGGCTATGCGTTTCAGCCGCTCTTGCGTATCAATCCGAACGGCCCGCGCCGCAGATTCTGAATCGCGGTAGTTTGCCATGACTGTCAGCTCAGGTGGGAAAAGGCACTGAGCCTCAGGTGGTATGTCCTTTGCCTCGCGAGCACTGCCTAAATTGGGCATCATTGCGCTATGTGAGAACGCTTGTCGCGTTTGGGGAACAGGGCTCTTCTCAACTAGGTGTTTCCTGTGCGGCCTTACATGTTGTTCGGCCTTGAACGCAGTCGTGCATGCATTGGGTGAACGGCCAAGGGTGGCCTGCGGTCCGGTGGGTGGCCGTTGGGGACTGATGTGGATGTTATGCAGTCGCGCTGCCGTGCAAATCCGTGACGGCGTCGTCTTGGGATGCAGCGCAGGTAGCAATGTTGAGGCATTGCGTGCAGTTGTGCCGCTGCGTGCCCCAGTGGCGTGGAAATCTGGCACCCCGTTGGCGGTGCGCTTCCGTGCATGCGGCGTGCGGAGCCCCTTGAACCACTCGAGTCTTGGGGGTGCCCAGGCACAACCAGGCTTGGAGGCCGTTCGGGTGGGTGGGGGGCTCGGGGCTATCTGGGAAGGTGTTGGAGGCGTCTAGGAACGGGCTGTGGCTTCCAGGATCCACCAAAATATTTGCAATGGCCGCCAATTGGCTTCGGTGGAGCCTTGCAAGGTCCTCGGCATGGGTTTCACGGGGCCTTCAGGGGCCTCGCAATCCTTCCGGTGGGCGAATCTGTTTCCGCTGGGGGAGTGTCCAGGCGCTTCCAAAGGTTTGGGGGGCCTCCAAACTCTTCCGGTTGTTGTAGCTGTCAGAAGGGAAAACAATGGATTCCCAGATCCCCCAATCCCCGAGTTCCCTAATCCCCGCTCCCCCCCAAGCGCTGGCCGTTTACAAAAAAGGGACAATTCTCAACGCTTCGCCCATCCCCACCAGCCAATAAATATAGGAACGATCCCCAGGGGAGCTGTCCTTGGGGGAGCGCGGCATTACTTGGAGAGCTCTGGGGGTCTTTGTGGGCCAGAAGTGTTTTGGACGTGTCTCGGTCGGAGTCTCTTGGGATGTCTCTCGCGGTATCTTGGAATCTTCTTGAGGCTTCATGGGGGCCTTCTGGCGGCTCTCTGGGGACTCTTGGGGCGTTGTGGGGGCCTCTTAGAAGTGTCTTGGGACGTCTTCGAGGCCTCTTGGCGGTCTTGGGCCCTCTTTGGGGCCGCTTGTGGGCCTCTTGGGACCTCTTTTTTTTGTAGCGCCTCTTGGGGCACTCCGGGGGGGTCTTGTGGGGGCAGGTCGTGTCATCTTGGGGCCATCTTGAGGACGGGGGAGTCCTCAACTAGCGCTCCCGAAGGCGGCCCAAGTGGGCCCCAACCCTACATATTCATCCAGGGGTCTTGCTTTCTCGCTGAAGCTTTTTTAGAACGACCCGCGACCCTCGATTCCCTTAGTCCAGGCCCAGAGGGAGGGATAGGTGGAGAGGTAGATCTGCCTCAAAATGGGAAGAAGGAGGTTGGACGAGGAAATGCCCTGAACCACATACGCCCTAAAGGGCAACTGAGACTCACTCGGGAATACATCTTGTATGCAGGCGGCTGCTTGGACGCCCCTCCTATCAAGGATGGACGCCACCCGTCGTGCATCCCCGAGTTTGGCGCTGATTCCGCAATGTAATCACAACGCAAGGGACTGAGGTCGCCATGCCCCCCGTTACTTGCCGTGGCGACGCAGCACGATCCATTGCACATTGCGATTCCATCGATTTTCCCGATTCGATGCCAGCTGCTCCCGCGCATCGCCGCAATTTCTAATTCCAAAGCAGCGATCGCACGCCAATCATAACATCACGCTCCCTGACCGACGAGCGGATCCCCCCCCGCCCCCTCGAGCCCCCGAGCTTCATGTTTGGAGTCGGCAACACTCCCAGCCCCTCCACCCCAACCCCACACAAACCTCATCCTGCTCCTCCACCTCTTGTCCCCCTGAACTTCCCAAAACCTCTTCCTGCTCTTCCGCCTCCCCCGCCCCTCCGAAAAGCAAGGGCTATGGATCCCCGAGCCAACGGTGGGGTGGCGTCGTCGCCTGCGCCGCTGCCAACTGCTCGCTAGCTTCCCCCCGCTCCTCGTTACCCCCCTCCTCCGCCTCCTGTTTCTCCACTCCGCTCATCTCCGCTGCCTTCTCTCTGCGATTCTCCGCTCCTCCTACGCCTCCTCCTCGTCTCCTATCCTGTCCTCGCCTCCCCCTCCCCTTCCCTTCCCAAACCAAACCAAATCCTCTCCTCTCCGCTCCTCTCCTCCCCCCTGCTTTCCGTTATCCCTGCATACCAGGAGGAGGAGCGGGCAGGAGAAGGATGAGGAGGAGGGATGAAAAGGGACGAGGGCGGAGGCAGGAGGCAGGTCGGCAGGGACGGAGGGAGGGAGAGAGGAGGCAAGCGGGAGCAGGAGGAGGAGGAGGAGGAGGAGGAGGACGAGGAGGAAGATGACGAGGAGGAGCGAGCGGGCGAGCGAGCGAGCAGCCGAGCTGCAGTTGGAGGGCCCGCGGGACAGGGACGGGGCGGCACGCGGGGCCAGGGCGCATGGAGCTTGCGGCAGGCCCGTGCTCGCGTCGGGGTTGAATGCGTCCAGGGCTCCCAGCGCCTCCGGAGAGTCGCCGATGCACGCGTGGCCCAGCAGCTTCAGGTGGCGAGCGGCGCAAATGTGGACCACGAGGTCCAGCATGCCACCGATCCTCAAGAGAGGAGGAGGAGCGGGAGCAGGAGCAGGAGCAGGAGGAGGAGGAGGAGGAGAAGGAGGAGGAGGAGGTTGAGGAGGAGGAGGAGGAGGAGGAGGAGGAGGAGGAGGAGAGGGGAGGAGGAGAGGAGGAGGAGAGGAGGGAGAGAAGGGAGGAGGACGATGAGGAGGAGGAGGAGGAGGAGGAGAAGAGGAGGAGGGGGGGATGATGATGAGATGAGGAGGAGGAGGAGGGGAGGAGGAGGGAGGAGGAGGGGAGGAGGAGGAGGAGGAGGAGGAGGAGGGGAAAGGAAGGAGGAGGAGGAGGAGGAGGAGGAGGAGGAGGAGGAGGAGGAGGAGGAGGAGGAGGAACTGGAGCAGGAGCAGGGGCAGGAGCAGGAGCTGCAGGAGCAGGAGCTGCAGCAGCAGCAGCAGCAGCAGGTGCGGGAGCACTAGCAGCAGCAGGAGGAACAGCAGAAGGGGCAGGAGGAGCAGCACGTGGAGAAATGAGGAACAGGATTAAGGGTCCCGTCCTGCCTCCTCCCTTGCCCCCCGCCCCCCACCCCCGCCTCGTCGTTCGCCTGCCCCCCCGCCAGGCCAACTCTATGGGCATGGGCATGGGTGCACTCTCCCGCCCGCCCTTCCCGCCGACCGGCGCGTGAGTGCTCGCGACGCCGCGGCCAGCGCGGGTGTTCTCGGGGACGGAGGGTGAGGACGAGGAGGAGGAGGAGGAGGAGGAGGGGGAGGAATGGAATGGAATGGAGTGGGGTGGAACGGCATGAAATGGCCCTATCGCGAAGCGGTGAAGACGTCACCTGATCAAACGGGCCAGAGACCATACCATCTCGGCTTTGGTTGGGCCTGGGCCCAGTTGCACTCGAACATCCTGTTGGTATACTCCGTACAAGTGGGTGTGGGAGTGGGCACGCAGCCCTTATTGAGCATTCCCGAAGTAACCGCACTCCTTACATCACCAGAGCTGGATGCTCGTACGATATATGATATCTGATATAACATGCTGTGATAGGGAGGAGGAGAAGGAGGAGGAGGACGATGAGAGGAGGAGGAGGAGGAGGAGGAGGAGGAGGAGGAGGAGGAGGAGGAGGAGGAGGAGGAGGAGGAGGAGGAGTGGGAGGAGTGGGAGGAGGAGGAGGAGGAGGAGAAGGAGGATGAAGAGGAGGAGCTGGATGAGGAGGAGGAGGAGGAGGAGGAGGAGGAGGAGAGTAGAGGAGAGAGGAGAGAGGCAAGCTGGGTGCACTCGCACCCGATCTGACGTCTTATCCCTCCCTCCCATCCCTTCTCATTGCGCTGACGTTTTTTTCTATCCGTGGACGCTTGTCAATGCCGACCTGGAACTCCAAGAAAACGACCTATCGTTCTATGCGCAGTCGGCGAAGGGGGACTGCGTACATAGGACAATGACGTGACGGGTGAACATGAGGATGAGCAGGAGGAACAGGAGGAGGATGTTGAAGGCTGAAGATGAGGAACAGCAGCAACGTCAGCAGGAATTGTACGGTCGGACCGAGGTAGATGATCTCGGTCGGTTCGGGGTGGGTATCCTAATGTTCTTTGTGTCTGTTCGATGTTTGTGTGTATCTTGGGCAGGGTACACTCGAACGCTCTTCAGTTAAATGATGCTTTTCTGTCTGAGGTCCGGCTGTAGTGGAAGGAGCGGCTGGAGCAGATGACCAGAGGAAGGTGGAGGAGGGGAAGTAAGTGGGGCGACACCGATGAACAAGGATTCGGATCCAGAAAAGCGGCCCGCGCTGGGTCGAGATCGCCATCCTGAACGACGGGATCAAAGCGCCGATCCAAAAATGAAGCCCTAGCTAGAGTGGGAGCACCATGTCGAAACATTGAGAACAATCGGATACTAACAAGAAGCAGAGGATAGCCAGTTCTCATTGCCCAGTTCTGTGTATAGAAACCAGCACGCGGAGAGAATCTGCCGTCGTCTGGACGGAGTCAGGGGAGAGAGAATATTAGTATTCATTTTGTGTCACTGCAGAGAGGGCAGTGGAGAGAGGAGGAGAGATCAGAGAGGAGGAGAAGGAGAAGGACGAGGAGGAGGAGGAGGAGGAGGAGAAGGTGGAGGAGGAGGAAGCTAGACATCCAGAGTTCTAGCCTGGGCCCCTTGCGCGCCCACGAGGGCTGCACGGGGTCCGGGCACAGGAATGGAGAGGCAGCCACCGGCGGCGGCGGGCGACGGCGACAACGACACGACGGACGACCCGACGGACGCTCGCAGCGGCAGGACCGCATGGCGGCGACGGAGACGGCGACGGGGGCAACGGCACGACGGACGACCCCACGGGACGCTCGCGGCGGCGCGGCCAAGTGGCGGCGACCACGGCGGACGAGCCCACGGCACCCTCGCAGCGGCACGAC